AATATTTTTAGAAGTCTGATTTAAGCAATTTATTCAAATTTCAAATTTTGGCATAGTTTTTATTTTAATTTTGGATAATAATTAAGTTTTGCAGACTTTTGAATTAAATTTTTTTTAAATAATTGAATTGCAGAAGATGTAAAATAAATTTTCAGCATATTTAAATTGCTTTAGTTTTTTTTTTAAATTTTGAAAATTCAATTTTAGATTTATTCATTTAAACTTTTTTAAATAATTGAATTTTTAAAAAACTATTAAAATTATTAAAAGTAATTGAATTTTGGAAGAGTCACAATTGAAATTTTTAAAAATAATTATTGAATTTCAAAAGATTTTTTAAAAATTTAAAGCAATAATAAAATTTTAGAGAATTGACAATAATTGATCAAATAATTTTAGATATTTTTTAAAAGTAATTGGATTTTCAGATTTACAATTAAGAGTGTTGAAATTGAACTTCAAACTAATTTTAATTGAAATTTTTGATGATTTCTGTTGAAGAATTTATTAGAAGTTACAATAAAAAATTAGACTGGAAAATTTTTTAATTAAAAAAGGTTTCCCGATAATTGAATTTTCAAAGAATATTATAAAAATATTTTTAAAAAATAATTGAATTTTAAGTTATTTTGAATACTTTGAATTCTTGGTAATTTTATTTGCTGATTTTTTTTTAATTCTAAAAAATAATATTTTATAAAATTTTGAATAGAAAAATACTTTAAGATAATTGAATTTGTGAAGAGTTTCTTTAATATATTATTGAAAATATTTAATTTAGAGAAGAATTTTAGTTGAAAATTTGTTAAATAATAATTGAAGATCTGCAATGTATAGTAAAAAGAAACGCATTTTGTTTAAAAATTTTGTAAAAAATGTAAAAGTCGTAAAATCCGAAGCCTGTTAATAAGTACTTATGAAAAGTAAATTTTTGAAGTTTATGAAAAAACACACATGTTAAATATTCAAAATGCCAATACAATCACGTTTGTATTTGTCATAAAACATTCTAGACAATTAACCAGAAATTATTATTTTAAGCAAATAGTATTGTGAGCACTATCTACAATCTGCTTATTTTATTCGGTAATAAATGCACTTAATGCATAACATTAAGTCAGTAATTAGTGTGTTACTTTAAAAATTAGTTGACATAATAATTCTCACTAAAAAGTAGATTATTTCAGACGTTGAATTTTATTGATTTCCTCGATATCTATATAGCTACATTTATAAAATCAAGAATTGACGGAGTTAGTTCCGTCATTTATGAATATTGCCTTGCAGATCTGGCAACACTGTTTTTCGCGTATGAAACATGAGAGGTGTTTCAAGGCATTGCGCAACTTAATCGCACGCGCGTCTTCTAACTAAAGAATCAGCTGCTCTCAAGGTCAACCACTTTAAAAGGGAATTTAACAATTAGCAGTTTTAAATAATACTTTTTACATACCCTACTTATCCCCTATCAACAGTCTTCATTTTTTTACACATACATCAATTTTATTCTGCTTCCATAAGGAGCCACCCTTTCTGTTAATTTGCATTCTATATAACGAGTCTATTATTTTTTAGTCCTATGTTAACATCCTAAAAAGTTTACGAATGTAATAGAATTATATTAAATTTGTTAATTTTGCAATCACATTTTTTGCAAAAGTTTCTAAATATTTTAAACCACACCCATAATGATATAGATATTTACCAACCTTATATACTAAACTATGACCTTCATACCCGGCAGCTTAAAAATATATGTTAAAAAGTGATATAGAGACAAAAATGTTTCGCATAAAGAGAAAATGTTTAGAGGGTAACGCTTTTGATAAAAAGTTATTTTTAAATTATTAAATATACTATATGGTCGATTCCATGTAAAGTTTGTAGTCGACATTTACGGAGTTGCAAAAATTTTTTTTTTCAAAAGTAGACCTATTTTCAATGACAAAAAAAGTTATTTTATTATTTTTCTATATTTATATTTTGTTATTATTTTATTAATATTTTATACAGTCTGTTGATATTATATCTAGGCTTTAAGGACCCGAAAGAGAAGAATAACCAAAATTTCGATAATTTCGATTAATACTGCATTACTTTCTATAACGAGGTAAATAGTTAACATTCAATTAATATTATACTTTAAAATGGATAATATCACACTCATATTTAAAATATTTTCTTAAAAACTAAAACAGAATATATTTAATAAAATTATTGTTAAAAAACTGTATATATATATATATACAATAAGAATAAATAAAAATCGCTACCAAGTTGAAGTGTAAATTTTTGTGTTTATTTCACAAACACTGCTAATGGAGATTTTATTTATTTGTGAAGCAAAAGTTTCATGATATCAAGTTACAGAGATAAATCTAATTAAAAAAGTTAAGTCGCTTAATTAAAAAGTAAATAAATCAATGCAGTTTTAAAACATATGTAACGTAATTATGATATATTAGAGTTTAAAGAATAAATAAAAATTAAAACTATTACAAATGTGACTCTTTTTAAATATTTATTCCACAAATCAACATGCGCACGTTCTTTTGTGCTAGCGGTGGAATTCAAAAGATTACGTATACGTAATAATCAATACGTATGCGTATTATTTTGTTCTAAAGACATTAGAAGTGTATGCAGAAAACGCGTTTGTGAAATAAACATAACAAATTTTGAATTTTTAAAATGTTAATAACTTTTTAATGTAAGGTCGTATAAGGTTCAAATATAGGTCAATCAAAATATACTCCATAAGCTGATAATGATAGTTTTAAGACTACAGAAAAATTTTTAAATAAAAAATTTAACAAGTCATTTAAAAATTTTTTTTCCAGAATTATTTAAACATTAATAATTCTGGAAAATATGATTAAAATATTCGTTAGTAGGTCAAAAGATACATCTGAAAAAAACTATACAAAATGAAAAAAATATTGTAGGTATCACAACATTTTTTAAAAGATATGGGTAAAAAACATTTTTTTTAAAAATATATTCATGGGACTTGAGGTATGTAAATAAGATATATGAAAAAGTCAAATTTTAAATTTTCTGCTATTGCAATGCTTTTTCCACGAGAAAACAATATCAGATCTTAATTAAATGTATAAATATGAGAACTTTTTGAATAATGCATATTTTAAGTTAATTTTTGTATTTCCTCTTGATTATTATGTATGTTATTATAATTCAACAATCCAACGATGAAATTTGCAACAATAAAACTAGGAATATTCAGTAAAGTCAAGTTTTTGTTTTATTCTAAAATTTTTCAATTTTAATTTTTTTCGATTTTTTAATTTTAAAGTTTTATAATGTTCAGAAAAAGATTCTAGAAAATTTCAAATTAAAAATCCTATGTTTATGTGGATATATAATGAATTAGTAACACACCCTTGTGATCGCTATGGGATATTTTTAAAAAAAAGTATTGCGCAGCCGTAACTTTTATATAAATCTAATGCGCATCATTTAAAGTTGAAAATCGTAATAAAATTTTCCATCAAGTTTCGCGTCAAAATGATTTATCACTCATCTAAGAACCAATCGTACTTAAGGGTGCTTAATTTCAACGATCTTATGTGAAAGATTTTGTTAACAAAAACAAATCAACGTAATTGAATATTATTATTATAAGAAAAATATTTCCACCACACAACTAATAGAATCACTCTTCAAAACATGTTACAAATGATTGTATTATATATATTTATTGATTAAAGAAAAAAAAATAAAAAAAAACCTGGCCAGAAACTTATGCTTTAAGACAGGAAATTATTATTTTTTAATTTTTTAATGGAACGGAACTCCTGCAAAACAATAATTTCGAGTGTCAATAAATTCCAAAAAGGAGTCATATTTAAATTGTTAATGTTGAAAAATGAGCTAATTTTTATAAGTTTATTCATTTTGAAAAATGTTTTAAAAATTAATTTTACGGTTAAAAACATTCAAAATGGTGGAAGCAATATGTTTGATGAATTTTTAACATTTCATCAGATTCACCTGCAACTTATTTACCTACTCATGGGATTTCGACGTAGTTATAATTACGAATTTTACATTAGATTTTCGAAACTCAAAATGGCAAATTCTGATTATTTTAAAAATTCATATTTACTTGAAAGTCGTCGAAATTCCACGAGTAACAAGTTTTTATTTAAAAACAAGCCGCCATATTAGATTCGCCAGTTTGATTTTTTGACAAGTGACACCGGATTCGTAATCATCGATCACAAAAATACCTAAAATGGTATGTATGTTAAAGAAAACAGTTGCACTAAAAAATCATATCTGAAAAAATTAATAACAGCTATCGTTCAATAAAATATCATTATTTTCAAGAAAACCGTTTAATAAATTGTGATTTTGATTGCAAATTAAATTTATTTTTACAAAGGTTATACGAAAATTAAAATAAGTTTAAAATAACGCAACAAAGAAATTAAATTACAGAAATTACAAACTAGAATACGAAAAAATATTCACATGTGAATATATATTTTACTTCAACTTATAAAAACATTGATGTATCACGAAAATAATTGAAATAATTTGTACATTAGGGGCCATCCATATATTACGTAACGTTTCAGTGTTATTTCAATGTTAAGAGCGTTATCATGTGACACTTAATCAGAAATATAGAGTATACTTATCTTTAAAAGAATTATTAGGATGCAATTACTTAATAAGATTTAAAAGAATTTATGACAAAAATTACCCGTAATCAAGATCAAATTCTAATACTAAAAATAATCTAAAGTTGAATTTTTAAAAATAAAAGTATAACAAAATTTTTCACATTCACTGAAAAAAAAGTTTATAAGCAAAAACACGTGGCATTTATAAACGTTTCATAACGAATTAGAATCTCACAATTTTTTAATTAAAGAATACTGGACTCAAACTAAGAAATATTTTTTTAAACTTACAAATTAAAATGGTATGTAACCAAAGGAAATTTAAGAAAATAAACTTTTTAAAGTCTATACCTTTCAGAAAGTTTCTTTGGATGCGTAGAGCATTGGTACAGCGTTGCGCCTGCCGACTGCATCACGTTGCAATTTCTGTCTCGGTGTGAATTTATCAGAAATGAATGTTTTTCAAAAATTTGAAAGAACCTTATACGCAATCCACTGGACACGCGAGAATAAACTGGAAAATTCGTGATGATACACGAGCTTAGTAAAATGAAACTTGTCTTGAAATCGTATAAAACGCGCAAATGGATTCGCGCAGCAGCGCCGACGCAGAAAGAAAAAAATTGAAGCCGGTAAAACCTTCTGACGTGCCGACTTGAAACAAAAATCACTGTTGTTAGATTCGCATCATATTTCAATTTCCACATGAGTATGTTAAGCAGATGTTGAAAAGATGTCACATTAAAGGCACACTATTTGCATTGTCGATAACATTACAGATTTGTTTGAAAATGTTATTCGTTTAATAAATTTCAAGTGAAATAAATTTATACTTGAAATTGGAAAAATCGTAAGAAAGGTCTAGAGCACGACCATGGAAATTTATTGATATATTGAGGCACTAACATATACGTATGTACTCATCAGCTGCCTTGGCACTGACACTGAACCTCACGCCTGGTAACACGGTCTTGAAACTGTTCAGTAGAAACAGCCGGCTTCGCTATATTCCGTCCCACCAAGTACCAGCAGAACGCGCAAATCTTGCCCTCCAACCCGCTTACACACTTTTCGATTCCCTTCCTTTTCCTCAACTCATTCTTCTACTTCTTCGCAGTCTGTAAAACTTATCGAAATAACTTTCTGTCATGTGCGATACTACTATGAATTTAAATATGTCAAATTGCATTTAGTCAAATATCAAACAGGACACATGATGAAGTTTTAAAAATCAATTGTTAGAATTTTTATTTAATAGAATTTCATTTGATATAATTATTTTTGAGCCGAAATTTTATGGGGCGGTTCAGAAACTACACATTCAAATTCTACAATGTTAAACCCACACGAGAAATTCTACATAGTTAAATTGCATACCGTTAAACTCCACAAAAATTTATTTTATAATAAATAATTAATTGTATTAAATTCTACACAGTTCAATTCCACATTGATAAACTCTACACAAAATTATTTTGTAATGAAAATTTAAACTTGTTAAATTCAACACAGTTAAATTTCCCACCATTAAACTCTTCATAAAATAATTTTATAATAGAAAATAAAATTTCTTAAACTAGTTTAAGATATACAGTTTAACTTCCCCCTTGTTAAAGTCTTCACATTTTATTTTTTAAATTCTACACAATTAAAATGTAGTATGTTAAACTTTATACAAATTTTTTTCGTAACAAATAATTACTTTTATGGGACGCATGAATATGTTTTATGAAATATGAATATTTCATTTGTCATAATTATTTTTGAGCCCAATTTTTATTTGTTCGAATTAGTATTTGATAGAATTTCCATATAACAGATTTTTCATAATACCGAATTTTTACTTAACCGTAAAATCATTTAACAGAATTTCTAATTGATAGAATTTTCAATTGTCCGAAATTGCAAATGGCCGAACAAACAATCTACAGAAAGATTTCGGCACTATTTTTAAAATCAACCAATCAAAAATTATCTAGAAAATTGTGATTAGTTGATTTTAAAAATCGCGCCGAAATCTTTCTGTCGATTACCCAAATAGCACTTAATATTCGTACAATATGTTGCTGCAATATTGTCGTGCAATGTTGCCAATATTGCAGTGTAATGTTACTGCAATATTGAAGCAATCTTTAAGTGTCCTGTTTGCTGCAATATTTAAGGAACATTGCATAATATTGCAGTAATATTTCTGCAGTATTAAAATAATGTTTTATGCCTTTGAATCGAAGTTGAAAATAAATTTTTAATTACAATCCAATAAGTAATATTTTGAAATACCTACATTTAAAGTAATGTGAAAAATAAAAAGCTGTTTACTTGCAAAAAAATTAATTTTTTATTGATTGGTGATTCTAATAGAAAAAAGTTTTCTCTATCAGAATCACCAATCAATAAAAAATCGATTTTTTCGCACGTAAGCTCCCTTTTCACTGTCCAGGTCACATATATAAAAATAAAAAAAATCGGACAAGTGCGAGTTACACTCGCACTGAAATCGAGGGTTCCGTACTCGAAGCGAACTTATTTGGTATAAAAACAAATGTTTAAAAAATATGTGTTGTATGACAACTAATATAAGTGATACAAAAAGGAACAATTTTGTAAAATTCAAGAAAATTGTTCCTCTTCGTATCACTTATATTAGTTGTCATACAACACATATTTTTTAAACATTTGTTTTTATACCAAATAAGTTCGCTTCGAGTACGGAACCCTCGATTTCAGTGCGAGTGTAACTCGCACTTGTCCGATTTTATTTTTTAAAAAATATTTTACTAAAAAAATATAAGAAGCATAATTTTATTTCAACTCGCAATATATTTATTGTATTTACATTTTAAAAATATATTGAATATTAAATTTTATCTTTCTAAGTCAAAAAGAGATAAAACTTAAGATATTGATATAAGGCTAGTAGCTGCTTGTCAAGGAAAAATCGAAAGTTATCTAAAAAATAAAATTTGTTTATTAATTCCAGAAAAATCAACTCCAATCATCCTCGCTATATTTTTTTTGTAATCTACACGTAAAAATACGTCAAAATATATAAATTTGAATCACTGTAGAAAAACTTTTTTCGTTTTTTGCGGAAAAATACATTTTTTTCTGAAATTTATCATTTTTCTTCAAAAATTTGATAAAAATTGATCAACTCCAATCGCGCTTACATTTTTTCCCTGTATTTTTCACGCAAAAATTGAGTTTTACAGCAAGTATGAACAGTCTGGATTGAATATTGTGTGCGCTAGGGAGAATAAATCATTTTTTTCGAAATTTTTGATTTTTCCTTGACAACGCTATGTAATTTGATCCGAATCAAGTTCGCTATAATTTTCCTGTAATTTCCACGTAAAAATACGTAAGTGTGTCAAATTTGAGCTCTTTATGTCAAAAGATGTGGCCGCTAGGGGGGGGGGTACATAGTCATTTTTAGGCATTTTTCGTAAAAATTCATGGTTTTTCCTTGACAACGCTATGTTAATCAATTCCAATCAAGTTCGCTATAATTTTCCTGTAATCTACACGCGAAAATACATATGTGTACTAATTTTCAGCCCTCCAGATAAATTTATGTGGCCGCTAGGGGGGGGGGGGGGGTACACGATTTCAAAAAAACCGATATTAATAGGGTTCCGAACCGAGTACGGAACCCTAAAAACAATTATAATTTTTTAATTTCTAACTTCACATTCAATCAACTTACTTTTCTGGAACCTAACATTAGGAAGAAAATTTTTAAAAAACAAATTGAAGGGACCGGAGTGGGAGACCTAACCAACTAATCTAAACAACGAACTTTTGAAGATAAAGAGTGTCTCTTCTGTATGAATTAAATTTATTTTTGATAATGTTAAATTTAATACTTTTTTTTTTAAAGAAAAAATGATATTTTTTTTGGCCAAAATTAAATTTTTTTAAAAGTCATGTAAAATTTTCACTTTCTTTTTAAATTTTTTAATTCATACAGAAGGCAATAATGTATAATTGAAGAAAAAAAATCTGTTTTTTTGTGTTAAATAAGAATTGTGGACCCTAGGTTGAACGCAATAAGAAAATTCCCACACAGCACATAAAATTTCCTGAATTTGTCCTGAATATTAATATTTGTGAAAAATAAAAAAAATGAATTTCAGAAATAAATTGCAGTAGTGATTGTGAAAATATGTGACAAAATTTGTGTATTTAGTGAAATAGTGACAATTTATTTATTATAAAGAAATTATTACACGTAAGATGCAACAAGCGAAACATGATTAATATATATGAACAGTAAGTATAAAAATAGAATACTTAAAATAAATAAGATCCGCTCAGGTACGCAAGGATATACTATAAAAGTCAATTTGTTACAAATTTTACTTGACTGGACTTTCAATATTCGTAACTTTTTAATTGAATTCTTAATTTACTGCATAATTATAATTGAACAAAAAATTTTTTTCGCAGAATTGTCATTTGATAACATTTCTATTTTTCAGAGTATTCAAATGTTTAAAATTTAATTTGTCTAAAATTGCAAATGACAAAAAGTACATATGAACCGATCGCCGGAAAGACGGCATACGTCGATTTAAGACATTTTGAGATATGTTAAATTTAAGATTCACTTGTAAGTTATAATTTAAGGCATTATTATCGAAAAATTTTTTCATTTACAAAGGTTTACTATCGGTCAACTAATTTTGTCACATATTTTCACAATCACTACCGCAATTTATTTCTGAAATTCATTTTTTTTATTTTTCACAAATATATCCGGATGATATTGCCTAAATATGTATTTTTAACAATTTAGAAATATTTCATTTCGATATTTCTAGAATTTTAATGAATAATCTTTTCAAAATATTTCACTTAAAAATTTGTAACATATTTCATTTTTTTATTTTGCAAATATTAAAAAATAATATGTCAGTAATTTTTCATCCTCACATTTCCTCAACATTTCGCTGAAATTTTTCGTACAATCGGAACTGCAATATTTCTTATAGGCGGACATTTCATTGTTGCATCAAAATTTCATGGACCTTTCATTGAAATATTTCGAATCTTTCAATGAAATATTCAAGACAAATTCAGGAAATTTTATGTGCTGTGTGGGTTGCAGCAGTAAGGCGTTATATATATGACGTTTATTTAATTATTAAATTTTATTTTTTTTAATGAAAAAATTGTATTTCAAAGGTTAAATATATAAGAAAACATCCATTAAATCTTACATCGATTTATTTAAACGTGTTTGAATAAATGCGTATACGCATTTTTTGATCTTCTAAAGTAGGCGCCACACTTAATCCTTTCAGCGCCCCCGTGCAAAAATTTCACGTCGCCCTCTTACCCAGCAGTGTTTCTTATATTTTTTTTTAATGTTTTTATTTAAACAAATTTTTAGATCATTATTTGTAAATGAAAAATAATATAATTGATCAAATAAAATAATTTTAGTATAATTATTCACAGGTAATATATATTTTTACGCAAAATATTAATAGACAAAAATTGAGTATTAAAAGAACATTATAATTGTGAATCTAGTGGACTTTGCAAAATTTATGCATTTCGATCATTATTAATATCAGATTTAGCATAGATGGTGAGTTCACATTTTTATCGATTTTTATATATTTTTCGAGGCTCATAGATTTTATATGTTCTTGAAATGCTTGTGCTTTTTCAGCTTTTCTTTTGCGATTCTCAGCTCCAGATAATTTTTTAGACATTTTGCATTAATGAATTTATTTACAATTTGTATCTAAACTGATAAAATTTTTTTTTCTTAATGTGATTAAGGGGTTACGTCACCTTGAACGCAAAAATTTTTTACGGTATTAATAGAATTTTTTTTAACGAAACTGTTAAAGATATAATTTTTTAATGCACTAATGGCATAAAGTACATGTATTTAAGATTTAAAAAATCAAAAAACATTAAAAAAATTAAAAAATGGCG